AACATAGGTAAATGCCGAAAACATGCTGGGTATAAGAAGACAGCCACAAAACCTTTCGTATGATTCCATTTATATGACATGCCTAGGACAGGCAAATCTAGAGAGACACAAAGTAGATTCCTGGTTGCCAAGCCTCGGGTGGGAGCGGGGAGCGGGGAGAGGATGGCTGCTAACGTGTACGGATTTCTTTTTGGGCTGAGGAAAATGTTCTGAAATTAGATCGTGGAGATGGTTGCCCAATTCTGTGCGAACGCACTCAAAACCCTTGCCTTGTACAGTTTAAACGGGTGGATTTTATAGTATGTGAATTATATCTCTATAAAGCCTTTATGCTCAAAAAATAAATGTTTAAAGGATAAAAAGAGTAAAGATTTTCTGTTTTTTGTTTTTGGTTCCTGGGAAGTGGGGGCTGAGAGGAGCAGGGAGCCAGGTGGCCAAGAGCGCAGACATGGCTCAGCGGCACGAGGAGGAGGCTCCCAGCGGCTCCGGCCGCCGCTGATCCCAGTGGCCGGCCACGCTCTTCTCTTCTCACCCAGGGTTCCTCAACCTCAGCACCACTCACTCCTGGGACGTGGGAATTCTTTGCCGTGGGGGGCTGTCCTATGCATGGTGGCATGTTCAGCGGCACCCCTGCTCTCTACCCGCCAGCTGCCAGCACACCCCTGCTCAAGCTGCGACCATCAAGTGTCCACGGGCGTCGGCAAATGTCTTCAGGGTAGCAAAACTGTCCCCGGCAGAGAGCCACCGTGCCAGCCCCTCTTGCTCACCTGGTGATTCCTGCTTGCCCTTCCTGACCGTTTCCATATCACCGCCCCCGGCAGCCTTCGCCCTGCACCCTCTGAGGTCCCATTTCCTGAACGCCCCCATGCATGCAAGGCCCCAGGACACCGCTGATGCTCTGCTCTCCGCCCTGCTGTCTGTGAGCTCCCTGGGGTGCGGCACAAACCCTCACGCACGGGGCAGGGCATGCTGCTTCTCACGGGGCCTCTCAATGCTGGCTCCTCTGTCAACCCCTTCCCGACTCTGGCTAGGAGTGTAGGGGCTCTGGATTTAGTTGGCCTGGCTTGAACCCTGTGTGACATTGGGCGAGTGTCTGAGTGCATCTGACTCTTAGAGGCTTGCACTCCGAACAGGAGCCACCCAGGGTTACCGTGAGCACGTAGTAAGAACGCAACATACGTCAGATATTACTGGGATGAATAATGTCGTATTCCTTCTCTCTTCTAAAGGGCGTGCCAGGGTTCAACACAGAAGTGTCCCTAGCACTGATAAGCTTGCATGTGCCAGCCCTGTACTGGCAAGGAAAAGGTAGGGGTGAGTAGGTTATGTGGTCCCCATGTTCAAGGAGCCCTGGGGGAGGAGCCTACCTATAAACTGAGGGGTCCCAGAAGATCTGGCTTAAACAGAATCTTGAAGGATGAGTAGGATGAGGTTGCTAAGCAGAGGAGGGCATTGCAGGCAAGAGAAATTCCAAATGCAAAGCTTGGAGGTGGGCAAGAACATCGTTAATTCACCCAGCCGGATGGAGGCTGTCGTAGGTGGGCCAGCAGAGGGTGGGTGGGGTGGAGGAGCTGGAGGCGAACGGGGTGGCCAGTCACTAGGCTGTAACAAGCCATGCAGGCCAGTCTCAGGACTCGGGACATGACCCTTTTGGGAATGGGAGCCTTTGAGTACTTCTGATCAGGGCGGCAACATTCTCAGCATCAAATTGACAGTGGGATGAAGCACGTATGGAAATCGTAGGGGGCAAGATAGGAGACAAGAAGATGTGAAAAATTCAATCTGGCAAACCTACTGTGTGCTTTTAGGGGCCAATTCAGTCTTTTTTTTTTTTTTTTTTTTGAGACAGAGTCTCACTTTGTTGCCCAGGCTAGAGTGAGTGCCGTGGCGTCAGCCTAGCTCACAGCAACCTCAGACTCCTGGGCTCAAGCGATCCTCCTGCCTCAGCCTCCCGAGTACCTGGGACTACAGGCATGCGCCACCATGCCCGGCTAATTTTTTGCATATACATTTTTAGTTGGTCAATTAATTTCTTTCTATTTTTAGTAGAGACAGGGTCTCGCTCAGGGTGGTTTAGAACTCCTGACCTCGAGCGATCCGCCCGCCGGGGCCTCCCAGAGTGCTAGGATTACAGGGGTGAACCACCACGCCCCGGCCCAGTCTTTACCATATGCCTGGAGGCCCTCTGGGACTGGGCACCTGACTTACCAACCATCACAGTGCCATCTTTCAATCAGGCACTCCCCTCCCCGCCCTCGGCGCTAGACGCCAGGCAGCTCTGCATCTGCCAATGATTAAAGCAAATGCTCGTTGCGTAGAATCTGGGAAGCCCAGAACATGTGCAGTCAGGGAACAAATCTCCCATGGTCCCACCACCCATGGATAAATATTAACATTCTGTAGCCTATTTCCTTCCAGTCTTTTTTCTAAGCTCTTGCCAAAAAATGTGGCCCCATGCCACAGACATGTTAGTGCATAAACCAGACCTCGTCGGTTAAAACTCTCCATGTTTAGCGGTCGCCGTGCGCGCTGCTGTCCACAGCTACACTGGTTCCCGGCTGTTGGACATTCAGGGACTTCCCGGTTGTGGGCCAGTATCTTTGCATTGGAAAGAGCCTCTGTCACAGCCCCACCATTTCATCTGGGCGTGTCCCTCCTCTTTTAAAACATTTTTTGGCAAAGGCACCTCTCTAGCCTGCCGGGACGCCCTTTTCCCTAGAACCAGGGCTTTCTTTCCCCAAGGCTGAATTAAATCCTTGGGATTGGAACTTAATCCTGTTTCCCCTTCTTTGGGGCGTTGGCGGAGATGGACCACAGCTGGCCTTGTTTTCCCCACGGATGCTCCGGCTGGGAGGGTTATAGTCAGTGCCCAGCCCAGGACCGAGGGCAGGAGGTGCCCGTGGGTGCAGGGGACCCAGGCCAGGACCGAGGGCAGGAAGTGACCATGAGTGCAGGTGACCCAGCCCAGGACCGAGGGCAGGAGGTGCCCATGAGTGCAGGTGACCAAGCCCAGGACCGAGGGCAGGAGGTGCCCGTGAGTGCAGGTGACCCAGGCCAGGACCGAGGGCAGGAGGTGCCCCGTGAGTGCAGGTGACCCAGGCCAGGACCGAGGGCAGGAGGTGCCTGTGGGTGCAGGGGACCCAGCCCAGGACCGAGGGCAGGAGGTGCCCGTGAGTGCAGGGGACCCAGCCCAGGACCGAGGGCAGGAGGTACCCGTGAGTGCAGGGGACCCAGCCCAGGACCGAGGGCAGGAGGTGCCCGTGAGTGCAGGTGACCCAGGCCAGGACCGAGGGCAGGAGGTGACCATGAGTGCAGGGGACCCAGCCCAGGCCGGGATGGATGGAGACCAGGTTAAAAGGACAAGGTGATGAGAAGGGCAAGGAGTTGGCGCGCTGGGCTGAGCCTCATTGTCTGCTTCCCGTGTGGTGCTGAGCAGTGACCTTCCTTCCTCCCAGACCCCTCGAGAAGTCACTTGGCAAAAGCACCCCAGCGGACTGCCAGCCTTGAGGCTCACTTTCCCCAGTGACACGCGGCGCCTCTTCCCATCCCGCATGGAACAGGCACCCGTTGGTGACGCAGCACATACCCCGTGCCAGCCCTGCACCAGGACCCTTATGCGGCCGTTTTGGGGCCAGCGTGGAGCTGTCGAAAGTGCCCCGGAGTCAGGCAGACCTGGGTCCAGTCCCAGCGCGGCACCCGCTGTGAGTGTGGCCACGTGGAAATAGCTTACCTCCGTGAGCCTCGGTTTCCCCATCTGTAAATCGGGGTTGAATGGCACCTGCTTCCCAGGGCGGTCGTGGTGAGGGTAGCCAAGGTCGTGCATGTACCTCAGGTACCCAGCACTGGGGCCACACAAAGCAGGTGCTCAGATGTGACCTTCCCATGATATTCAATTCTCCATGTAGCCCAGGGTCCCAGCGGCCAAGGAATGTCATCTACCCAGTGGGCCCTGCTAAGCCCCAGGGATGGGGAACTCATTAGCAGGCAGGAATCCACAACATCCTATTATAAATACAGAAACTGAGGCTCTGCGGGATTAAGCCAGGAATCTTCATAGAACAAAAACTGTGTCGGCTGAGAGATGTCTTGTCCCAGAGAGGCATCGGCCTCGGGATGTGTGTGGGGCGTTGGGGAGGGGGGCTTCTGGGCCCCCCAATTCCCTAGGCCCTGCCTCACCACCCAGCGCTGCCGCTGGCCATCTCTGGCCAAGGCGGACGAGGAGGCCTAGCGCACACAGAACTTCCCGACTTCCCCGGGGACAACCGAGTCAGGGCGTGACACCCTCACTGCCCCTTCCCTGCCCCACCTCCTGAGCCTCACAGGCACCTGCAGGGCGGCTTGAGCACGCCCCCTTTCACGGAGGTGCAGGGTGTAAGGAAGGTGGCTGGCATGCTCAAGGTCACTGCCCAGACTGGGACTCCGAACCGAACCGAACCGAGGCCACTTGGCTGGCTCATCCCGCAGGAGAACCCCTCTCCTGGTGGGGGAAGAACTCCCGCCGGCTGCGCGCGGTCCCGCCCGGCGTGGGCAGCAGCAGCCCGGAGGGAGAAGGCAGCGCCCCGCGCCCCGAGCCGCTGCACGCCCGTCCCCCGCCAGCCCCGGCCCCTCCTGGCTCTCCGTTAGCAGAAAGTTGCTCCATGCTCCGGCAGACGCACCGCCCGAGAAAACGCCACCACCCAGACCCGGGGGCAAGACGCGGACTGCTTCCACGCAAGCGGACTTTCCAAATCCGCCCCTGCGCGGGCACAGGGGACACGGAGCCGCCCCCGCGTGCAGGACGGTGGCCGGGCCCGGCTGCCTCCCACCTCGCGACGCCCCCTGGGGCGGGCTCGGACCCCCCCCCCAGGGGCTCAGGGAAGGAAACCGAGCCTCGCGGGCGGAGGCACCTGCCCAAGGTCAGGCACGGCCAGCGAGCGGGGCGGGGATCCCCAGCAGCCTCGCCCGCCCGCGCCCCGGCCCCAGCCCGCGCCCCAGCCCCCGCCCCAGCCGAGGCCGGTTACCTGGAGCTGCTGCCCGGGCGCTGGCTCCGCACCGGCTCGCCTCGCCCCGCGCCGCGCTGCGCTCCGGGCAGGGATGGAGCGGGCGGCGCGCACGGCCTGCGCCCCACGCCTCGCGCCCACTTCCTCGTCTCCGCCCCCGTCCGCGCTCCTGCCCTGCCTTCTCACCCAATTCTCTCCTCCCTCTCCCACCCCTCTCTCCTCCCTCCTCTCTCTACCCCTCCCTCCCTCCCTCCCTCTCTCTTCTCCTCCCTTCCTCCCTCCCTCCCTTTCTCTCTCTTCTCCTCCCTTCCTCCCTCCCTCCCTCTCTCTCCTCTCTCTCTTTTCATCTCTCTCTCTACCCCTCCCTCCCTCTCTCTCTCTTCTCTCTCTCTTCCCATTCCTCCCTCCCTCCCTCTCTCCTCTCTTTTTTCTCTCTCTCTTCTCCATCCTCCCTCCCTCTCCTCTCTCTTTTCTTCCCTCTCTCTACCCCTCCCTCCCTCCCTCCCTCTCTCTCTTCTCTCTCTCTTCCCCTCCCTCCCTCCCTATCTCTCTTCTCTCTCTCTTTTCTTCTCTTTTTCTACCCCTCCCTCCCTCTCCTCTCTTTCTTCTCTCTCTTTCTTCCCCTCCCTCCCGCTCTCTTCTCCTCCCTCCCTCCCTCTCTCTCTCTTCTCTCTCTCTTCCCATTCCTCCCTCCCTCCCTCTCTCTCTCTTCTCTCTCTCTTCCCATTCCTCCCTCCCTCCCTCTCCTCTCTCTCTTCTCTTCTCTTTCTCTACCCCTTCATCCCTCCCTCCCTCTCCTCTCTCTCTTCTCTCTCTCCTCCCATTCCTCCCTCTCTCCTCTCTTTCTTCTCTCTCTTCCCCTTCCTCCCTCCCTCTCCTCTCTCTTTCTTCTCTCCTCTCTCTCCCTCCTTCTCTCTCTTCCCTCCCACCCTCACCCACTTTATCTTTTCTTTCCTTTTCTCCTAGACCTTCTTTCCTTCTCTCTCTGACTCTGACACTCCCCCTTCCTCTCCCCCCCCTTTCTCTCTCATTTTCCCTAACTCCTTCCTGCTCTCTGCCCCCACCCACTGTGCATCCACCCAGACTGGGCAGCCTGGCCCGAGCCCCAGCGTCCACGGCCACGTGTGGGTACATTGGCTGAGTGGAAGGGGACTTGCTGTGGCCTATAGTTGGCCTCTGGCTGCAGGGAGAGCCTGCCCTGGGGGTTAGGGGGTGGCAGAGGCCCAGACCAGGTGACCTGCCTCACCTTGGGTCCCAAGACCCAGCCGCCAATCAGGCTACAAGGGGGAAAGAACTGGTTTATTTTATTTTATTTTGTTTTATTTATTTATTTATTTGAGACAGAGTCTCACTTTGTTGCCTAGGCTAGAGTGAGTGCCGTGGCATCAGCCTAGCTCACAGCAACCTCAGACTCCTGGGCTCAAGCCATCCTCCTGCCTCAGCCTCCCGAGTAGCTGGGACTACAGGCATGCGCCACCATGCCCGGCTAATTTTTTCTGTATATATTAGTTGGCCAATTAATTTCTTTCTATTTATAGTAGAGACGGGGTCTCGCTCTTGCTCAGGCTGGTTTCGAATTCCTGACCTCGAGCAATCCGCCCCCCTCGGCCTCCCAGAGTGCTGGGATCACAGGTGTGAGCCACTCTGGGCCCAGCCTATTTATTTATTTTTTTAGGGTACAAACATTTTGGTTACATTTTGTCTTTGCCTCACCCTAGCAAGGGTTAGAGGCATGCCCTTCCGCTCTAGAATGCTCACCGTGTCCTTTAGTTGTGAGTTTACCCTCCCAACCCCCTGGTCCCTGGAGAATATTACTACCACGTGAGCACCATAGTGTTGTCAATGGAAAAAAGCCAAACTCTGTAAAATAATTTTAAAGAGATTTATTCTGAGCCAAATTTGAGGACCGTGACCCGGAGCCACTGCCAAGAGGCCTCGAGCTAGTGGACTCGATGTGACGGGGTCACAGTTTGGTTTTATACATTTCAGGGAGACAGGGGTTACAGGTAAAGTCATAAATCAATACGTGGGAAGCATATATTGTTTTGGCCCAAAAAGGTGGGACATCTCGAAGGGGGGTGGGAGCTTACAGGTTATAGGTGGGTTTAAAGGTTCTTTGGCTTGTAATTGGTGAAAGACATGAAGCTTTGTCTAAAGGCTTGGAATGTTTTAACATAAAGAGCTGTTATCAGAGACAAGCCACTGGACATAGATTTGTTGTATAAATTGAGGACATGCAGGTGTGTCTTGCATACCCTTAGGCCTGTTGATGGCTTACAAAGGATGTCCCCAAGAAGGGAGGGGGGGCACGATGAGGCAGGCCTGACCTCCCTCCTCCTGGCAGACAGTTTTTTAGGATATTCCTTTGGCCACAGGGGGTCCAGTCAGCTGGCAGGGGGCTGAGCCTTAAAATTTTATCTTAGTTTACAGTGTTAATCAGTCGTTTATGGCGAGTACAAGTGGAGCCTATTCTTCCCATCTTGTGTTACCTCACTTCGGATAATGGGCTCAAGCTCAATCCAGGAAAATATAAGAGGTGCTAGATCACGGTTGTTTCTTATAATTGAGTAACATTCCATTGTATATATATATATATATATATATACACACACCAAACTTTAATAGTCCACTCATGAATTGATGGGCACTGGGGTTGTTTCCACGTCCTTGCAATTTTGAAGGAAATGCCCGGATAATTCTGGGCTCTGAAACCTAGAAACACAGGAGGCCAGAGGCTAAAGGGCAGGTAGATATCAATGCGTCCAGGGGTTAGTAATTACAAAAAAAGAAAAAAAATCACCAAAACTTCAGAAAACCCTAGAGTGGGTTTGTCCTGGTTGAAGGAAGGGCTGAAGAGGAAGAGAAGAAAGGGAGGTACATCTTGGGCAGAGCAGCTTTTTGGGCAGGGAGTGGGGCCCCCACCTTCTAGGTGAGAGGATGGAGGCTCGAATGGGAAAACCAGTCTCCGGAGCATGGAGGTATCAGGGCCACACGGACATCACGGAGCCAGATGGGCTGTCCTGGCCTCGTGGGAACCTGGCGTGTGGGGATTCCCGCAGAAGCTCGGCAACTGAGGGGGAAGGCGAGAGGGCTGAGCTGGCATAAATTTCCGACAGATGCCACTGCTGGTTGATACGCCACCTGAAGCCATTCTGTTGCCAGGGTCCGAGATGCACACTGAGGGTCCACGGTCCCCCGTGCTCTGAGCTCCCGGCCTCTGGGGAGGCCATTATTGTACCGTGTCTCCAAGGCACCGTCGTCTTGGAATGGTAAGAACCTCCACGCGGGTCTTCTGACGCCCCTCGTGCTCACCTGCAATTCGCAAAGCAGCTCAGGTACTCTCTAAAAGGAGTCAGTCACGCCACGCTTTTCTGCTTCCCTGCGTCCAGCCCTCCCATGACTTCCTGTTGTAGTCAGAACAAGGCCCGAGCTTCTTGCCGCCCCGTGTGGTTTGTGTGGTGTGTGAGACTCGCCCGTCTGATCTGTTCTCTCCCCACTCCTTACTTCTCTCCGTGTCCCCAACCACAGTGGCTTCCCGCCTGCTCCTGGGAACGGGAACACACTGCAGGCCATTTGCACCAACTGCCCCCTCTGCCAGGAAAGCTCTTCCCTCTCCCCCCATGTCTGCTCAAGTGTCACCTTCTCAGCGAGGCCACCCTGACTGTCTTATCTAAAGCAGTCACCCCTTTGCCATGGCAGTTTTCCTTGCGTCCCTTTTTATTGCGATGGGCACACGTATCCCTGTCTAGAGTTGTGCTGTCTGTGCGTGTGTTTATACGCTTATTTCCCGCTCCACCTCGCCAGCACGGAACAATGGGGCAGGGAGGAGGGACGGTGTCTGCTCCCGGTGCCCCCCCCCCCCCCGGAACTGCAGCACACGGTAGACCCGCAGGACATGCTCGCAAAACGAGTGAGTGAAACGGTGCCACAATAAAGAGGTTTAGAAAAAGGAAAAGTTGGTTGAGCCTGACGAGGGAAAAAGAAGATTGTCTTCAAAAAAGGAGACCGTAGAGCCCACTCCCAAAGCGGAAGCAGCATTTCCCGGGTGGAGAGAGGGAAAGGGCTGTGCAGTCGGGGGCGACAGCCCCGTGGCGTGAGGTTGGGCAGCGCCGCGAGCCCAGGGAGCAGCTGGGGTGGCAGCGCGGGCTCCACCCTGTCGCCGGTGGGGGGTGACACACGTGTTCAGGCAGGGGCTGGTGTGTCCAGGAGAAGAGAAGGCTCCGGTGACCTTCGTCTCTAGGAAGGACCTCTGGTGAGACCTGCACCTGGTCCAACGGTAAAAATAGACCGAGCAGGCCGGGCGCGGTGGCTCACGCCTGTCATCCCAGCACTCTGGGAGGCCGAGGCGGGAGGATCGCTCGAGGTCAGGAGTTCCAGACCAGCCTGAGCAAGAGCAAGACCCCCGTCTCTACTAAAAAAAAAAAAAAAAAAAAACAACAAATAGAAAGAAATTAATTGGCCAACTAAGAATATATAGAAAAAATTAGCCGGGCACAGTGGTGCATGCCTGTAGTCCCAGCTACTCGGGAGGCTGAGGCAGGAGGATTGCTCGAAGTCAGGAGTTCGAAACCAGCCTGAGCAAGAGCGAGACCCCGTCTCTACTGTAAACAGAAAGAAATTAATTGGCCAACTAATATATATAGAAGAAATTAGCCGGGCATGGTGGCGCATGCCTATAGTCCCAGCTACTCGGGAGGCTGAGGCAGGAGGATCGCTTGAGCCCAGGAGTCTGAGGTTGCTGTGAGCGAGGCTGACGCCACGGCACTCACTCTAGCCTGGGCAACACAGTGAGACTCTGTCTCAAAAAAACAAACAAACGAACGAACAGACAACCAAATAGAATGAGCACACTTTTCGCCTGTGAAGAGTGTTTTTTTTCCTAAAGGGTCTGCAGAGGCAAACAGGCCCCATGGCTGCGAGGCCGCCGTCCGTGCGCCTTCACGCACTTCCCAGGAAGAGGGCGGCGCACCTGTGGCTGGCGGCCTGGCTGACGTGTTGCTGGACAGACGTGTGTCCCTTCTGAGCAGAGGCTGTGGGGCCGGCGAGTGCCTGGCCGTGTTTCCTTCCCGTCTGCGTGGGACCGGCGCCGTCCAGGGGAAGTTCCCGGAAGAGGCTCCATCGCCAGGTCCCG